TCTTTTGCCTTTTCTCTTACCCCGTTTAATGCCAAAAGGTCGCCGTTTCGTACTGCCTCTCCAATCATCTTCTTCAATTATTTTCTTTTCACTTTATTTTCCAAGCTGCTCGACCGTGTCCTGTCTGCTTGTTTTTCACTTTTTTTTTAATCTCCTTTATGCAATACAGCGTCGTTTCTGCGTCCTCCCCCTTGCCGCTCACCACCGCCGGTTGTTGGGTGCTAAATACCCACACGCAAGTGCACGTATCGCAAACAAGTAGTAAAGTAGACTCGTGAGAGTCGGATGTCGATCCCACAGGGAATACGCAAATTACCTAATCCTAAGTACCAAATCCTAACAATTATGATTTTTATCCAGCCTACGCAGGGTTGTCAATTTAATTAACTAAATAAAATAAACTAATTAAGAAAGCAACTAAACACGAGAAAATATCAATATAAAACGGATCTAGGATTTTATCTTCCCCTATGCGATAATTCTTCACCCAATTAATCTCCTATCATGCAAGTTACGATTCCCAAGTCACCGTCGCTTCAATCGATACTGGGCCCCAATGGTGGTCGGCGGCCTACAATCTCTGACTCCACCGCCTCCCTTCCGAAAAGCATTCATTATCCACTGTTCAAGTTGATAGGTACGAAATTAATTAAACTTATCTTCTATTTCTGCTACAATTTTTGGTTACTTCACCTTTTCTTAGTCTTCGACGTCCAGAACAGCCGCCGGCGACTCTGGTCCGTTTTTATTGCTGGAAGATGATTTTCCTCTTCTTTTATTACATATGGCTTTTTTGGTCCCAAGATTTGGTGTCCCGTTTTCTTTTTGCTTTTTTTCTTTTTTCTTTTTCTTTTCACTATCTTATTTGCCCTGCACTGGTTGGCTGCCTTTTACCGCCGCTGCCTCGTCTGACGGCCGCCGCTGGCGCCTGTTAATTTAGATCGCTCTATGTCTGCATATTGATTGTAACTGAATTGTGTGTTTGATGTTGCAGGGACTGGTATACAACTTACAAGTCCTGCGATAGCCGACCCCGAGAGGCAATCGACAGGGCCTCGCCGCTTCCAGCGTCAGCCTTTATGTAGTATATATGTGCACTCCCCCATTTTTCATGTGTGCTCCAAAATGTGACCTATTTTTGGTCGGCCTGGCGCTGCCGTTCTGTCTGTTTCACTATCTCTCTAACTAAGTTCCTATTTTCTCAGCTTTGTTCATGTTAATTACTTATTCCACCTATTTTACAAAAGCTTTTTTTAATTTGACGATAATGTATGCAATTAGGAATTTCATGTCAGAGAGTTTTGATTTTACATATGTTTTGAATTTTTTTTTTAAGAAATCTTTGATTTTCTGGTGCAGGTCTGGCGGTGTTTCTTGGATTTTAAGTTCAAGAATTCTTTTGGGGGTAGTTTTTTTGTTGATTGTTTATATAGGTTCTTTTTGTTGAAATGTATATAAGCCTTGGTACTTGAGATTTTTTACCGTTTTACGTATGGAAATGTGATTGGTAATTCCGAATAATTAGTTGTTGATCGCGCAATTTTTTTAGTTTTCTTAATAGGTGTGCACTGGCTCGAAAACGAAAATTAAAATCGGCAGGATGGATTATTTTGGTTGCTAAACTCGTCGTCCTTTTTATTAGGTTTTGAGAGATGCCTGATGGAGTGAGCAGGATGCTTCGATCCTCGTGCCGGGTGACATCATCAGCATCAAGCTCGGTGACATCATCCCAGCCGACGCTCGCCTTCTAGAAGGCGACCCCTTGAAAGTTGACTAGTCAGCATTGAACGGAGAATCTCTCCGCGTCACAAAGAGCCCGTCCGACGAGGTCTTCTCCGGGTCCACATGCAAGCAAGGCGAGATCGAAGCAGTCGTCATAGCAACCGGGGTCCGCACTTTCTTCGGCAAGGCAGCCCATCTAGTGGACAGCACGAACCAGGTCGGACACTTCCAGAAAGTTCTGACAGCAATCGGAAACTTCTGCA